AAAATTGCAGAAGTCCAGGCCCTCCTTATTTCATAAGCCAGGGATTCTGTATTCTTAATATTTCTCCAAGTGATTCTGATACCCACCAACTGCTGAAAAATATGCACTTTTTCTTTCATTCCTTTATTTTCTATTACATCCCCCTGTTTTTCCCCCATGTACCACTTATCACAGCATCTATTTACATGTGATTGTCAGTCTTCCCCTACTAGACTACAAGTGCCATGAACGTAGGGATCATGACTTTCCAGTCAATCGCTGTCTTTTTAAAGCATAACACAGTGCCTGGCACAAAGCTGGGACTCAAAAGGTAGATGGTTTTATATGCACAGAACAAAAACAAATTTCGACATGGATTTGATCCATAGTTAATGCAGCTAAAATTTGCTTTGTAACAGTGACTCACAAACTTTTTATTTTCCATCAGACTCTTTTGGAAGGTAAAATCAGAAGGGAGTCTGTTGTTCTGGTTTATTCGGGGATGGGAGTGCCTATGTTCTAGTCATGTGGCCACTGTTGGATCCCTGAAAGTAGTACAGAACTTAACTTCACACAGGGGACAACCTGGGCCAGTAGCATCAGAGGATGGTGCAAAAAGAATCGTGGGTAAAACTATGGCCATCTTAGCACAAATCAAGGTTGTAAAACCAAAAATCACTGTATTCTTCAGTATCACATAGAGGCAGTATTTTTAAAAGTCAGATTCACTAAAGAATGTCCTTGATGAAGCAGTAACAACCGTTAGTGTTACATATCAACCCTTGAGTATACGTGTTTTAATATTCTGTGTGTTGAAACAGGATGTGAACATTAAGCCCTTCTACTGCATAGTGAAATATAATGATTCTCTTGAAGGGATGCACTTGTACATTCTTTGAATTGCGCGTTGAATAAAATCACCTTTCTCATAGGACACCAGTATTACTTAAAAATAATTGAGCAACTGTGGTCGGTGGACATCTGCAGACCTCCACTTGAAAATGAACAAGGTGAAGCTGTCACTTCAAGGAAAGCAACAGACAGTACTTGTTGCCAAAGATAAAACTTAAGCTTTCAGCAAAGAAATAAAAATATCTCTCATGAACAACACGGTTTGAGATCTTCATAACTTCTAAGTGCAAAAATCTTCCAAAGATAAGACACTTGATAAGTGGTAATTTAAGCATAATGTGAAAACTTCTTCCTTTGCGCAACCTTATCCTCAGCAAAGATGGACAAACACTGATGAGTCTTCTTAAACCTTTTTTCCTTTTACTACCTGGACCTCAAGCCCAAGAATTATTGAATCCTTATGATTTGTTTCATATAAATGTATATTTCCACTAGGTCTTCTTAAAGTAACAGTTTTAGTCACCTCAACTTGATATTTGGACTTATTGGTACCTATAGCTCGGTTTGGCAAAGAGCAATTGCACTTCCTTAAACAGCATATCTCCATACCAGCTCCCATGGAGAAATGGCTGAACTGACGCATTAGTTGCTAGGTTCTACCAACGTCAGAAGATAAGCTCACTCCTTTTGTTTACATCAAATCTTCAATTCAACATGTTTCCAGTGATATAAATTCTGAGCATATAAATTTCCTAGGCCGGTGTGGTGGCATATGGCTAAAATTCCAGCCCTCAAGAGGCTGAGGCAGTAGGAGTACCCACATTCGAGACCAGCCTGGGCTACACAGTGAGTTCAAGGCCAGCCTGAACTACATAGGGACACCCTGTCTCAAACATTTTTTTTGCTCTGAACCAAAGTTAGTGAACTGAGGTATATATATTCTCCTCTAAACAGCTCCATGAGATGGGTATTATCAGTCCTATTTTACAGATGAGAGAGAAGGGTTAGATAGCTGTTATATAGCAGAAGAAGGAGGGAACCCACGTCCCAGGGACTCCAAAGACAAAACAATAGTCGGAAGATCACAGTTGTGCCAAGTACTTTATAGTGGTATTTTATGGTTGTGGGGATGAAAACACCTCCAATCAGTCTTCAGATTTGCCTCAGGTCAATGATTTCCAAAGTGTTGGCCCTGGACTACCAGCATCAGCATCCTGAGAAATTGTTAGAAACGGAGATTACGAGGCCTCATTCCTGATTTGGTGAATCAGAAGCTTCAGGGTGGATTTCAGTGTGGTGTGTTTCCCTGCTTTCCAGAGGATTCTGCTGCATTTTGAAGTCAGAGAACCACTAAAGTGTGCCAACACAGTCTCGCAAGCCAGAGGACATGGACCACTGCGGCACCTGCTGGGGTCGCCAATTTATGGGGCTGCTAAAATACCCCAGAACTAAAGAGGTATTATGTCAGCTAACTTGGAACTCTTCTGTTGGGAAAGTAAATTGATTTCACTGCTATTCTATGCAGGGAATAAATTCCTTGTTATGAAGTTGAACATGTGACTGGAAAATATTGGTTATTTCTAATATTCTGCCACCTTCTACAGAAGGCTGATCCTAGTAACCAGAAAAGTGTTTACTGCTAAGCACATGCCCTTCCATATTTGTTTATCATCCTCTTACCTTTTTGCCCCTTCTTTGATGCCTGAAGGATGAATAGCACAGGCCCCCCACCTCCAAAATCTAATTTATGGGTCATTGTAGATCAGATCCTCCAGAAGCAGATTTATTGAGAAAGCATTCTCAGAAGGGAAGCAGGATAGAGTAGCAAGGGAAAGCTAAGCAAGAATGTGGTCTCAGATGGATACTAGCTTCAGCCTGATCCCACCTGTGGGGAGCTACAGAGCATAAATTTTACCATAGAGCTAATCCTGCCTGAAGGAAAGGGAGTCAAGTTTTTGTATCCCTGCATTTGTCTCTTACTGACTAAGGGCAGGTTGGGAATGAGCTTGGCCTCCTGGGCTAAGAGTAGTTCCTGGTGGCAGAGAGCAGCACTTCAGAGAATGGGGCAGCTCTGAGATATTAACAGCTCTCCTGACTGGAGCTGAGGAACAGATAAACCCAGGTAAAAGGGATCTGGACGGGACCCCACCAGCACTTGCAACATGGATGTTTAGGGTTCTCTGTTCATACTTCTGGATATCAGTGTCCATCCTTGTCACAGATGTGAACTTTTATCTCTAATCCTTGGTCTCACGAGACCATAGTCCTGGACCAGCCAGCTTCCCATTTCCCACCCAGCCCATTGGTAAATCAAATCGAGCAGCTATATTTGTAGGATCCCAGGTAGTTTGATGAGGTATCAACCCCATCAATTATCCTACCCAACTGAATATATTTCTACATTAGGAACATACCTATTTCTTATGTTTTTCTTGTTTAAAATAAAGGGATTGGCTAGATTATTTTAAAATTCTGTTTCTAGTTTTAAAATTCATTTGCCCAATGATTTTGTTCCAAAAGGCAGTTGTGCTCCCATTTCCTCTGGGGATGAATTTCACAATAACACTAATTAGAAACTAAGTCTCCTGTCATTAACATAAGTCAGTTGATGACAGAAAAGTTTGACCATTTTAGTCTATGACCAGGAATTCACTTTCATTCGATGTGGCCATGATTTTCTTTTCGCTTTTCTTTTTTCTTTTCTTTTCTTTTCTTTTCTTTTTTTTCTTGTCTTGTCTTTCTTGTCTTTTCTTTCTTTCCTTCTAATACTAGGAATTGAACTTAGGGCTTTTGCACTGAGCTACATTTCCAACCCATTATAATTTTCTTTTAAATTTTGAGACAGGGTCTCACTAAGTCACTAAGTTGCCCAGGCTGGGCTCCAGCTTGAGATTTTCCTGCCTCAGTCTCCCAGAATGTTGACCATGGTTTGTTTAGCAATAATTGATATTATTTCTTCTGAATAATTAAGACAGAATTTCTTTGTAATATTAAGAAACTGTGGAGCTGATTCTCAAATTCCCATTTCAATAATCCAGGTCATGTTTTTGCCACACAAAGATGAACAAACAACATCATTTCTAGTATTAGGTCTTAAGGAATCTAGCTGAAACTGAAATAAGACATCATAACCAACATTGAATTATCACTGTATAGCCTCAAGAACAAGGTGATATTGCAAAAATTCCTGATGTAAATTGTAAATGGCAACGTTCCCTACTAGATACTGGTCCTTTATGTGGATTAAAACAAAACACCTATTCAGGCTTATGAAATGCTAAAAAAGGTGTCCCGTCTGAGTGAACAACTTACAAAAAGCACTCCTTCCTCCTGGCTGGAACTGAAGTGCAGACCATGTTAAAACTTTTGTCGCATATTTCACTGGTTTGTTTTGCATAGGACACAATTTGCATAAGTACTCCCAAACTGCTGAGAGGCGCTGTGTCTAAAGGTGTGCCTCTACTATTCCCAAACAAGACACTGATAAGAGCTTCCAAGACCAAAAGTCCTAAAAAGAATGTGTTCCTATACCTTCTCCAGATGTAGTCTTCACTAATTTTTATCACGTGAGAAGACTTGTCCTGCAACTTTGGCAGTGGACCAAGGGGCTCTTGCCATTTCAGCTGAGGTACTAGGGTTACAAGCAAAGGGAGTTTAACTTGGTACTGCCACCGTGATCCTCTGTGCCAGTCTTCCTCCTGGTGACTTTACAACAGCCAAATCATTAGCACAATATATATTAGAAATTTCTGACACTGAATTATTTTTCTAAAGTGTCTAGAAATTAATCACCGAAAAATGAAAATCAGTGAAGACTCTTCCAACTTTGAAATCATTACAGTGTAATCAACTATGGTTTCTATTCCCAGGGTTACAGGGAGAAAGCCTGGAAGAAAAGAATTCTTGGGCTAGTCATATTAATTAAATGGATAGAATTTCATACATACACCAGGGACCCAAGTGTCATTGCTAGTTTTTGTTAATCTCAGGATTGCAGTAGTTACAGAAGGAAAAGAATGAGGGGAGACAGGGTAAAAAGAAAGACATAATAAAAATAGCTTTCCAATAAATAAAGCCAAACTTGCCTCTGCTGTTTACTTTTTTCTTGATCCTATCAATAACATTTTCTTAAGAGGAAATATTTTAGAAACAATTAAATTCCCACTGGGTTGGTTTGAGAAAGTTGTTAAATTTTATTTACATGAAAAGGAAAGCTTTGGGGCTTTTTGAGGAAGAAATGACTGCAATTTGGCAAGAAAACGATTGGAAGTTCTTTCTGGTTGAAGGACGAATATACCATTCCTTTGGGTCAAAGAACAACCAGGAAAAGCTATGAGAGCTCATGATCATGTCCCTTCTATGTAGGAAGTTTGAGGACAAGTCTGCACAGTCCACATGGAAACTTCTGGTTAAATCATTTCTATAGTCTCTGCTGAAAGAAGATATTCCACTAAACTCTACTCTCTTTCTTAAGTGCTTCCAATAAATTACCACAGATGTGAAAGTCACCTTCGACATTTACCGGAAAAAATTGATCTTTTTTGTAATATCATGAGTCCTCCCCCAACAGAATATGTTTTATTGCATCTTCATTGCAAATCTAATTTGTAATTCATCGCTTTCTTACTCATTCAAGTCATAGTTTTCTGTGGGAGAATATCAGTCAACTGGGAGGAAATATTCCACTAGTAGAGGTAGAATATAAAGGAAATGGCATTATTTCGCTGCCTGTAAAATGTGTTTTTTTTTAAAGGTTCCACCTTTAACATTTTACATTATATCATAATAATTCAATGGTACATATTTGGTCACCCACAAGAGAAATCTAGCTTTAATTGCATTGTAATAATTTGAAACTCTGAATTTTAATTATCCCAAAGAAAAATTGGCAGAAAAAGACTCACAAAAATGTGGCAAGTAGTAGGTTTATGGAACTATCTATTTGCTGGGAGTAAATGCATGATAAGACTACATGTGAAAAAATTAAATTGCCCCTGCTCAGAAATTGAACCTAAGGAAATTTTATTCTCTAACAGATCTTACCTTTCTGGCGAGGTGTCCATGGTACACTTGCTAACAAAAGCTTTGTTGGATGTGCAACATTAAGCCTTCATTGCAGAGAAGATATGCATGCACTCGAAGGACTCTTTCTCCTCTCACAAGTGATAGGAAAAAACTCCTATTTGGGTGTCAGTGAGAGCTGCTTGCTAACACTTCCTCACTGGCCTGCAAACTGTGAAGTATATCATTTAGCTCCCTCACTTGTCCTGGGGCACATGAATATAGACCACAGAGCTGACTGCCAGGCAAGTGTTTACTTATAAATCAGTATGGGGGATCATTTTTAAGGTAAAAAGCACAGATTAAATTTAATGACTTAGATATTATATACTATGAACACAATTTATGTCTAGTTGAAGCAAATACATATGATAATTAATGTGACACCCAAATGTAATTCACAGATTGCGAATTAGAGAGAGAGACAGAGAGAGACAGAATTTAAACCAAGGCAAGCACTGTGTTACAGGGCCTTAGCGCTTAAATTAAGGGCTTCAGGAAGATCTCACGGTGACAAAGCACTATCATGCAGTTCACCCACACCATGTATTAGGGGTGTGTTTCTGCCTAGATTCTCTTTTTCCTCCCCGATAAACTGATGCATTCCGTTACTGAAGAATATTCTTTTCCTCTTGGCACGTAGCACAGCATCAAAACTTCGGCTTCTGGAGCTTGGGTGAGTAATCTGTCAGCAGCGACACCATGACAGCCTGGGACAATACAACAAAAAATGAGAATGACTGGAATGGGTAAGCATTGGCAGCAGTAAGGAAGGGGTGCTAGGGCTCAGTTTTGTGGTCCCACAGTTAAAATATGTTTTCCCAAGGAAATTATAAGGGAACAGTTCTGAACTGATGTTTATTTTTATTTGCATGAAGGAAAGATTTGAGTGATCAGGCAGATCCAAAAATGCACAAACACAGGGCTTACGTAGGCCTCATTCCAGAACTAGTGGGTTGGAGAGGTGAAATGTGATGCCACAGTGGTCGACATAATTCAGTTTTCAAGTCGTAAGTTAAAACTCAGGTATTGGCTACTTTTTCAGAAGTGTAATCCCTTCTATCCCAATTCTCCCTGTTTACACCGTGATTTGGTCACTTGCAACCTGGAGAAGTTTAGGCTACATCAGATACAGAGTAATAAAAGTAAAGCATTTGGACGAATGAATGTCTGCTAGCTGAGTTTTTGCCCTCTCAAAAGAGCGTTAACTTTATAGCCAACGGTATAGCTTCTCCTTGGGCTGTCAGCCACAAGTAGTAACTTTGCGTTTTACTCTTCCCAACCTTGACAGTAGTGACAATACTAATAACATCACTAACAAAAAAAAATATTGCCTCATTTAATGGTATAACCTTCGAAGGTCACCCCATCATTTTCATGTGGAGATGAAGAAATCCACCCTCGATACAACAGATAGTACGTAAATGGGTTGGAATCCAATTTCTCGGCCTTTATCCTAAAGAGGTAGTTTTGCTACCTCTCAAATATTTGTTCTTATACATCAACATGGTATACAGGTGTATTTAGGCTGTGTAAGAAGGATAAGTCTTTTATATTTCTTAGGTATTCAGAGAAAGTTTTTATGAAACAGTTATAATGTGCCAGGCCTATGCTGTGTGCTTTTTTTGCACCATACCTTTAATACCATTGCCTAGTGTAAAGTAGTAAGAGAAATAAAATACAGATGAAGAAACTGAGATGTAGGAATTTTCCTGAGTGGCGATGGTAAGAGGCGAGTCTTCCCTGGATGCCCTTGAAACCTGATCACTATGCTCACATGACATTTACCTCATCAAATCCTCCCAACCTTGGGAAGTTGTTCCTATTTTGTCTCTCCCTATGAATAAATTTACTGAACTTAGGGGACTTGGCCAACATCACAGAGCCAGCTGGAATTTTAACCTAATTTCCAAAGGCTATGTTCTAAAATCGATATCCTATGTTGCTTTTACGTTACAAAAATATATTGAACACATATTTAGCTCTGAGTAATCTCAATATAACACAGAATATTACAGTTTAGATCATTGTTCTAATGAAGGTTTTTTCATTTTAGTCGGGGGAACAGATGACAGAAAACCAAGTAAATATTTCAGAGAGTAAATTTAGAAAAATAAAGATTTACAAGGGATAAAGGTAATGGGCAGCTTTATTGTAGGTTAGTGGGACCACATCTCAGGTTTTGCTTTGTTGTTCATACTCTCTGGACAGGTCAGTTTTATTTCAAATAAAAAACTTAGAAAGTCAGCTTGGGGTAGGATCCAGGTTTAGTTAAAAATATATAACAGCTAAATAAGGATGCTAGGTAAACAACAAAATGCTTTCTCACTGTAACTATATAAAAAATATTGCATGGGGCATATTTATACTAAAAATTATTGTTCATTATTATTCCATTTTATCTGAACCTAGCTTGCAGAGCAGTAAAAAACTATAAATAGTGCACTATGAATTACATGTGCAATGATGTTATGTACTTACAAGCAATCCAGGTAGTAGTCCTTTGAACAAAGCGTCTGAAGTGTTCTGTTCTGTTCTGTTCTTGTTTTTTGCAGAGTCCCTCTAGGTTATTTTAAGTTTACAGTAAAATGTGTAGGCAGAAGAAAAAAATCTGCCTTCTTTTTTGGGAGTCCTACTTCCTTCTTAATCATTGAAAATTACAAAAGCAAGCTTTGTGTGGAGGAAAGGATGGTTTTGTTTCTGTTTTTAAACAAAAAGATCTGAAGGCCATGTGCTACAGAAAAAGTGTGAGCATTACAGTGTTCTGAACAGCATTGCTGGAACTCATGCCTTGAGAGAGTACATATACCTTTTATTTAAGGTTTTTGTACACTTTAGAAACAAGGTTTTCACTCTCCCTTATTTATATACCTTCAATCAGTCACTATAGGCATCTTAGAACCAGAGGCAAAATTGTGTCTTTTCTTCCTTCTTCCATCCTGATATTTAAGTGATGTGGGTAAAAATCACTCCCTAGACCAGCGTTGTCCAATAGAACTTTCTGCAGTGATGAAAATGTTTTATCTGGGGTGTCCAATAAGGTAGCCACTGGCCACAGTGAGTACTGAGCATTTCATGTGGATATTGCAGCAAGTATGACTGAGGCATTGAATTTTCAATGTCTACTCAGTTTTAATTTAAACTTAAATATCCCTATGTGCCTAGAGGCTACTGTATTGGATAAGGCAGTTTATTGTTCTAGGACAATAACTAAGCATTGTCCCTTTAGAGTATCCTCCAAAAGTATACTACAGCAATGCTGAGTGAGCCTAAAGGCAATTCTAAATAAGCAGTCTAAAAATAATTTCTTTGCCTATAAAATAGGAATGTAGTCTAGATGATCTCTAAGGTGTCATCCTACTTGAAAATGTTACATATCTATGAATTATGCAGGCTATGTGGGAAGCATTGAGCTACATGCACAGCCTTTTAAAATTAATTAATTAATTAATTAATTTTTATTTTGAGACAAGGCTAAGCCTGGGCTCAGATTTGTCCTTCTGTACCAGCCTCCAAGAGTGCTAGGATTATAGGCATGTGCTGCCATCCTTGGATTTTTTTTTCTTTTTGAAAATCTCCAATGTTTGAAAGAGTAGCAGACAGAATACATACTCAGTGTGTAAAGTGCAATGAACTGAACTCAGTAAGCAGGGGTTTCTAGTAACACAGATATCCTAAATAAGAATGATAGACCTTACAATGGTTGGCAAACAAGGGTGGTCTTAGTTCAGGCTGATCAAGGGGAGTAAGAATTTTTATTAAGGTAGGTTTACTTGGAAGCGGATCAGTTTTACTCCATTAAAATACTGCAAATGCTAATGCACAATAATGATCTATTTTGAATTTCCTGGACAGAAACAGGTGCTATATGAGTGAGCATTGTAGTTGAATAATCATGGCTGCTTCTTATTTTGCAAAAAGCACAGATGAGCAAGTCGGAACCACACAGAGAATTCCTTATCCCTCCATTCCCTATTTCTTGCTTACCATGATTGTCCACTTTCTGTTTTCTGCCTCTTGGAACACTAGTGATCGTGGAGAATAAAACACCTCGTCATCCACTTCTTCTGCTTTTCTGGGCAAGCAGTGTAGAAATGTCCAGTCAGAGGCAGCAACTTTAGCAGTCTAAAGAGATGGAGATAAGACCGTGTTTTCATTATTGTATGCAGCAGTCATTTTGCCTCCCTCAATATTTAAAAATACATATGGCCTGGAGTCAGAAAGCAATGCAAAGGGAGAGACAAACAGCAGAGTAAAATTTTTAGCTCAAGGCACCAAGGGGAAGTATATATAATTCTCTCAGTTTATGGAATTGTATAGTAAAATCTTTATTTGAGAAATCATTATTCCATGTTAAATCACTAACTCAGTTTTCTGATATTCTATCTAGTGGGATATCAGACATCTCAATAAGTAACTATACTAGTATAATATGTAGTTGATAGCAAAAATCATCAATCATACTCAAATATGTAAAAAAGTTGCTCTGATGTGAGAGTGTTATATTTTAAGCGTATCTCCAAATTATGAGTTTTAGCGCATGAAGCATACTTTGTCACTAATTAAAACCATTTTGAAAAGCACTGAGTTAGGAGTGCATTAAACAGCATTATGAGCGCTGTTTCTTAGGTATTTCTCTCTTAATGTAAATGTACCATCTCAATTTTCTCCAGTAGTGAATCTCCAGAAGTTACATTTTCCCAGCCATTTCCACTGTTCACTTACACATTCATAATGACATTTTCTCGTACTTTGTTACATCAAAATTGCTGCCTTTTTACTAAAATTTCATTTTTCTCCACCCTTCCTCTAAGTTCAGAACATCCTGTGTCTCTAAAATACTAGCAAAATGACATGGAAAAGGAGTAACATTCATACATATCATATATCAGTGAGATGACAGTTCTTCAACCTACAGTCTCAGCCCCAGAAAAACTTGTAGTATTAATCAAGGTAAGTATAATGTAAACCACAGATAATTTAAAACAGCTCCATGAAAATATTTGCAATATACAATAGCAAAAGACTAACCATGCTATATAAAGAGCACTCAAGGATGAAAAGGCAAGAGAAAAATGACCAAAGGATATGGCGGCCATTTATAGAAAAAGAAATGGAAATGGCTAATAAACTTGAAAAGATGTTTCACTTCATTAGTAACTAAGAGAATGCAAATTTTTAAAAACTACAAGATGTCATTTTTTCTTTAGATTTACAAAATTTAAAAATATAAATAACAACTAAGAATAGAAAATGTGTGGAGAAAAGAGTATAATAATGCGCTGTGGGAGTACACATTGTTCATTCTTTTTGACAGTCCATTTAGTAGCATCTCCTGTACTTTAAAAAGTATGTAACATGTCACCCTCCAATTTTTCCTTTAGGAACTTACTCTCCAGTAATGTTTACACAAAGAAATGTGTGTGTGGTGTTCATTGCAGCACTGTTTGCAATTGGAATTTTTGGAAATAGTTTAATTTATAGGAACATTAAACATAGGTATATTATGATCTATCATATTTTGGAGTCTCAGGCAGCTACTAAAATGAATGTAAACTAAATGAATGGATAAGGAAATCTAAGATTTGTTAAATGGAAAAAATCTGAATAATATGTCTAAAATTCCAGTTACAGAAAATCAGCAGCTGTGTGTATGGACAGAAGAGTTCTGCAAAGCGACACATCAATTGTTAAACAGTGGCTCCCTCTGGGAATAGTCACTGTTACGTTTTGTTTTTCAAACTTTCATTCCATTTGAAAGATAATAGCAAAGAACTTGTATGTATGTATTACTTTATTAATAAAATATGTATTATACTTGCTTAATCACTCTTTCCATCAAAGCAGATTAGTTGTTCTGGTGACAAAACTCCAGTATGTTCCTGACTTTTACAGTATTCTTCCAGAACAGTGGTTCTCAAAGTGTGGCCGAGGAGCAGCCTGGGAACTAAGTAGATACAAATTCTCAGAGCTCATGGAGAATTAGATTTCATCAGAATCCCCGGCAGGGGGACAGCCAGCTACATATTAACATCTCCTCCAACTGATTCTAATGCCTGCTCAAGATTGAGGCAAACTGTTCTGGGTTTATCAGAAGGCCTCAGACTGAACCATAGTCCTTTGGGAATGCCCTGGAGGAAGTTGGCAAAACTTAATTGGATGGGTAGGAATGCAGACTGGTGAAACCACTGTGGAAATCAGTTTGGAGATTCCTCAGGAAACTAGGTCTAGAGGTCCCATTCAACCCAGCTATTCCCCCTGCTGGGTATTTTCCCAGAAGATCTAAAAACATCCTATCACAGCGATGTATGTGCACCTATGTTCATAGCAGCACAATTTGCAATTGCTAAATTGTGGAAGCAACCCAAATGTCCATCCACCGAGGACTGGATAAGAAAATTGTGGTACTTTTATAGAATGGAATATTACACAGCTATAAAGAAAGATAAACTCAAGGCCTTTATAGGTAAATGGTCACAACTAGAGACCATACTCATAAGTGAAATAAATCAGACATGCATGTGCAAGCACCGTATTGTCTCACTAGTGTAAAACCTGAAAGAGTTAATTTAAACTAAGAGTATGATAGACATTGTGAAATGATAGGAAAACACTCAAGGGTAAAGGGTAACTGGGATGTGGGAAAAGAGAAGGGAAAGAGGAGAAATTTTGTATGTACGTATATACAGGATAGTTAACATAGTTGTTCTACTATCTTCTATTTCTTTGCTGAAAGAAACTGTCAATGAGTCCTTGATTGATCGATATTACATATCTCTATCTGTTTTCATGAGAAACCACTTTGAAGATATCAATATGTAATGCAATAAACATTGTTAATTTCCTACCACTTTGTTTGTAACTCCGTATTGTTTGTACTGTTCTTTTGCTATTTTGTAAAAGGTTGTCTGTCAATGTTTTCCTCCTTTTATTTTTAAAATAAAAAAAATTGGATAGAGGGGTCCTTTGAAAATACAAGCAAGGACTATCCTACAGAGCATAGTGTCAGGGCCTGCTGTAGGGGAGAAATCAGAACGTGCACGCATCAAAAGTAACCCTATGTCCACAAAAAGAGTAAAGCATTCTAATACTTCTACTGCTATAAGAGGGGAAAGAGTGCCTCTCTGCTGCCTGAGTTTTAAATTCCTTTTTCCAGCACAAAAGTGTTTTTTCAAAAGGATACAGGTAATCTTTGGGAGGAGAGAAACTCCTGGAGTTCCCGTAGATCTTTTCTAGCAATGAAAGGACAATTTGCTCTCCCTTAAGTGAATAAATGATTAGATAGTTCTGGCCTTTATGAATGGAATTAATGAGTCTTCAGAGAGGAAGCAATTTGTACCTTCATTGTAATCTGGTAACCTTGGAAAGCCTGGAGCCGTATTTTCTTCTCTTCTTCTTGTCCCATGCTTATCCAAGTGTCTGTAATTAATACGTTAGCTCCACGCGCCGCTTCCAAAGGATCATTCGTCAATGACAGCTTGGTACCATTCTAGCATAACAAGTGTGCTGGTTAAACAATGTCATGGGACAGAGAGAGGCAATTATAGCTTTACATATAAGGAGCATACCTCTTTGGCATACTGCTCGGCCAACTTGATTGTACTAGGATCTGGCTCATAACCCTGCAAAAGGAAGAATTCAATTGTCATTTGGGTCATTGTATTACATGTTTTTTTTTTAAACATACACTATTTATTTTCAAGACTAGCCCCTCTCTCCTTCCTTTTATTTAGAGGTAACCCAACTATGTTAAGTGGAATATAATTTTTATATCTAGAATTTCAAACTTTCATAATACCTTTTGGAATTTAAAGAAGGCAACTAATTGCCACATCTTTCTTTGGTTATGTCAGGCTTTCTTAGTGATAAATACAGAGAATGCTGCTTTCTAGCTCTTGTAAGCTCTTCTTCTTGTACCCCTAATAGTTTAAGAGGATTACATGCACAACCGTACAGTCTAATGCATTTTTGCCTGAGCCTTTCAAATACTGTTTTTGTCTGGAATGTTTATTTCCACCAATTCCATGTAGATAATGCTTTCTCAGTTCTCGGTTTGAATGACCTTGCCTCAGAAAAAAACAAAACAAAACAAAACAAAACCACTCCTTTACCATCCAGTTACATTCTAACAGGCTCTTCATATATACTTTATTCATTTTGCAGGGCCCCTGCTTTGAAATGGCATTCACACAACAATACACTTTTTACTGAGATTCAATATTTGTTCATAATAGTTTGGTGAGGCAAGGAAGTGCCTAGAGCACAAAATTTAAGGAGACACTCAGCTTTGGACTCCTACAAGCACAAATTTTTCACCCTAGGTGCCTTGCTTGCTCATCCTAGCCCCAGGTGTAGGTGAGGGGCTAAACCTGCCCAAGCTATTCTAAGCCTCCATGGGTAACCTGTCTTCATTCTCTTTCCAATCTATTCTGCACCAAACAGAAGGAACTGTTTTCTCTGACACGCTCCATGTTTACTACCTCTTTCTTAAGTCAAAGCTGATTAATAGCATCAAGACTCGTTGCCTATATCCTCTGCCTCCGTCTCTTTTAATTCTTCTCAACATCTTGCTGCAGGAAAGCCTGTCTTTCTGTCACTCCTGCACACATCTTGCCCTTTCCTGCCACCACAGCCTTTCACCCTTGAACGCCTTCCTCCTTGTCCCCTCCTGGGTATCTTCATCAGAACTTGTCAGCTCCTCAAACCTCCAGCCCAGCCTCACCTCCAGACGCTCCATATGGAAATCTTGTCACTTTAAATATCATAATTATGCTCACCTTCCTCTAGCTTTCTCGTTTTCCTAAATTCTTAGCACTTATTTTGCATTAATTTTTATAAATTTTCAGTGGGACATTGTGGCGAATGCTGTAATATTCCCCTCAGATCCCGCTTCATGAATAATCATGAATTAAGGATTTATTCTCTCTGGCTGCTCTGGCGCTGCCAGAAGATGGCCTTCAGCTGTCAGCCTCCTTTGGGCCCTGGCTCGGCTACAGAGAACTGCCTCACTCAAGGTCAAATAGCCTTCCATGGCCCCATATTCAATGAATGATTGACAGGAGGATATGAAAACCTGACCCCTTCTGCCCACTCAGGGCAGCTCCACATGGCCATCTCGAATCCAGAGTATTCCATAAGTTCGGACAAGACTGACGTTGGGGGGCTGGGGATTTAGCTCAGCGGCAAAAGCGCCTGCCTGGCAAGCGCAAGGTCGTGAGTTCGGTTCCCGGTACCAGAGAAAAACCAAAA